TGGGTTGTTTTGTTACTACCCGCTTTGCGTGGTTTTCTTGGAGATGGATGTTAAATTCGGAAATCCTGCATCTTTGCTGATCTCTATGCGTGTGTAGCGAATGAAAAATCCTATATCATTCAATTCTTACTCAATTTGTTCGATTTTTATTACAATAAAAAAAAAAGCCCTAAGGATCATTTAGTAACAAAGTTATATAGAGTTCGTCGGGATTTTTCTGATCACTTGTGTTATTTGTTTATGTCAAAGAGTGCTTGTGTTCACTTTCTCTGGGCTTCTGACTTTTCTGCAGCCTTTCTACTGACACTCCTTGGTTCCTTCTTACTGCTGTCTTGCAGCCACCCCCTGATCTTATGGTAGGTAAGATCTAACACCTAGCCTTCTCAGATAAAGGGCAAAATACTTCGGAGGTTCTGTGTGCAAGTTGAGCGAGCTAAAGATCCCTTGGTGGTCCAAAGTCTATAATAGTAGGCTTCGGCCGCCACCCGGGCAAAATTCAAAATTAATTCCTAACTGAACAAATTGTGTTAATGTTTCCCGCCGCGTTCATATGATCTAATGCAGTTGCGAGCGCCGTAAACCACTTAAAACAAAGAGAGTGCTTGTGCTACAGGCAAGTCAAGACATTTTCTGGAAGATTCTCTGACTATTGTTCTGACCGTCTGGTCGCGGTAGTGCACAGCCCACGGTCAAAGTCAAGACATCTGTGTTGTTCCTACTGTTGGTCGGGGTCGTCTGTAGTAATCTCACCGGGCCAGCTGATTGCTGATTGATTCCAACTCTCCTCCTGTGGGCTTTTTGAACTCGTTAATAATTCCCTGACTGAATATCATTTTGTGGCAAAGTTTTCCTTGAAGAGCAGTGATTTTTAGAGCTTTGTTTGGAGGGAAAAAAATTATTGTAAAGGAAAGAATGGTAGGTACCTGTAAAAAAATTATTATAAGAGTGGTTGGAGGGTGTCACTGGGGGTCTTCTTACTTGTCTGTTCATATTCTGTTTATCTCTTGATTTTCTCTGACCCCGAATTTGGGTACTATGGTTGTTTTTGGGTGGATTAATTTTAAAAAAGAATATTAGGTATTGAACGTTTCTTTGTTTTTGTTTTTTTAATTGTATGTTTACTTATAGTATAAGACTGTGTCTATTGCATTCTGCTGTTGTTTGTTTTTCTGTCTGTTTGTTTTTCTGTCTGTTTGTTTTTCTGTCTGTTTTTTTTTGTCTGTCTGGGTTTTTTTTTGTCTGTCTGTCTGTCTGTCTGTCTGTCTGTCTGTCTGTCTGGCTGTCTGTCTGTCTGTCTGTCTGTCTGTCTGTCTCTCTCTCTCTCTCTCTCTCTCTCTCTCTCTCTCTCTCTCTCTCTCTCTCGATTGATCAATCAATCTCGATTGATCAATCAATCTATGTCTCTATCTCATTTTATACTGTTGTTCAGAGGTCTGATTCTTTGTGTTTAGTGGGTGGTTGGTGGGTGCTCTGGTAAGATTTGCTGCTTCTTTTCTTTCAAACACCTATCATCTTTATCTCCCCTCCTTTTCTTGTTAGTGTATGTTACTCTCCTGTAACACCTGTAGTCCTCAGCAGTTATATGACCTGTTTGTGTTGAAAGTGCTATAAAACTCTTTTTAAAACTACTTAATAAAACAACAGCATTGTATTCATCTGCCTTGTGGGTGGCTGGCGGGTGCTCTGGTGTGGTTTGCTCCTTCTTTCCTATCAAACATCTATCGTCCTGATCTTTCCTCCTTCTTTTTTTATGTTTGTTACTCTCTTGTAACACCTCTAATCTTCGGCACTTGTATGACTTTATTGTGTTGCAAGTGCCGCAAAACTTTTACCAGTGGGTGGTTGGTGGGTGCTCTGGTGTGGTTTGCTTCTTCTTTCCTATCAAACATCTATCGTCTTTATTTCCCCTCCTTCTTTTTTGTGTTTGTTACTCTCTTGTAACACCTCTAATCTTCGACATCTGTATATGACCTTATTGCATTGCAAGTGCCGTAAAGCTCTTACTAAGACAAAAAATTCATCTGCTTCCCCTCCTGCAGGCGGCCACGAATGCGGAGATTGAGAAGATGAGTTTCCGAGAGAAGCAGAAGTATTTTGAGAAGGAGATGCAGGGGAACCCCGACAATCCCGCCTCCAAACCGCCAGGTGAGTGCATACCACCATTGTTCTAAAATAATAATGATAATAATAATATAATATATGACATTTATATGCGGCTCAACCCCGATGAAAGAATGCATGTTCTGAGCAATTTACAAATACAACCATAAGATATAAACAGCCCATTGTGTTCTTACTGAATTCGTGTGTGTGTGTGTGTGTGTGTGTGTGTGTGTGTGTGTGTGTGTGTGTGTGTGTGTGTGTGTGTGTGTGTGTGTGTGTGTGTGTGTGTGTGTGTGACTCTGTGTGTGTGTGTGAGACTCTGTGTGTGTGTGAGACTCTGTGTGTGTGTGAGACTCTGTGTGTGTGTGTGTGTGTGTGTGTGTGTGTGTGTGTGTGTGTGTGAGAGAGAGTGAGAGAGAGAGAGTGTCTGTGTGTATGTGTCTTGATTTTTTTCGTACAAAGACTAACCCAAACCCCGTAATGTTATGGTGTGGTTTGCTCCTTCTTTCCTATAAAAAACCTATCGTCTCTATCTCCCCTACTTCTTTTTTGTGTTTGTTACTCTCTAATCTTCGGCACTTATATGACCATAATGTGTTGCAAGTGCTGTAAAACTAAGCCAAACTAACCCGCCCCCACCCGTCTGTAGCGAAACAGTTCAGCTACCTGTCGGAGCACGAGCTGGCCATTATGCGGCAGGAGGAAGGTAGGAGAACCACCCTCAGCACACCCCACGCCGCGGCCATTCGCTGTTGTAGTGTTTGATCGTTCGATGGTGGTAGTGGTGGTTGTTATGTTTTTGTGGTCGCAGTGGATTTTGGTTATTTTCATTTTTTTCCACCTCCCCCACCGCGGCTCTTCGTTGTCGTAGTGTTTGATGATCGGTGGTCGTGGTTGTTCAGTTTTTATGGTCACGGTGGATTTTCGTTATTTAAAATTTTTTTTCCCACCTGCCCCACTTTGGCCATTGGTTGTCGTAGTGTTTGGTCGATATGTAGTAGTGGTAGTTGTTACGTTTTTGTGGTCGCTGTGGATTTTGGTTATTTTCATTTTTTCCTCAGCGGCTATTCGATGTCGTAGTGTTTGATGATCGGTGGTTGTTTAGTTTTTGTGGTTGCGGTTGATTTTGGTTATTAAAATTTTTTCCACCTGCCCCGCCGCGGCCATTTGTAGTCGTAGTGTTTGATCAGTGGTGGTGGTGGTTGTTACGTTTTTGTGGTCTCGATGGATTTTGATTATTTAAATTTTTTCGCCAGCAGCCAGTGGCTGTCTTAGTCTTTGTCAGTGGTGGCTGTTTGGTTCATGGTTACTGTGGTTGTTTATTTTTAAATATTTTTTAGTCCACCCCACCGCAGCCATCTTTGTTGTTTTGATGCGTGGTCGGTGGGTGGTGGTCATTTAGTTGGTTTGTCAAAGTGGATTTTTGGTTATTTTTGATTTCTTATTTTTCCTTATCACAGTAAATGTGGTCGTTCACGTTGGGTCTTTACTTTTCGTACCTTACTTTGGCAAACGTTTCGTTTCTCAAGAGTTGGTTGTCTTCAGTTCACTTACTGATATTGTGGATATTGTGTCCCCCCTATTTTTTTGTTAATTTTTTCCTTCGTGTTCTTTGATTATGTTGTTGTTGTAGTTTTTCTGGTCCTGGCCCTCTGATTCTTCCCCCCCTGTAGAGATGTAGAGTTGTGACTCACTCATCCTCTTTTGTTGATTTTCCTACGTAGTTGCCTTTTGTTCCAGTTCTCTTTGATTGTTATTGCATGGCTGCCAACTCTGATCATAATTTTTAAAAGTAGTTAATTTGTTTTTGAGGATCTGAGTACCGAATTCCTTTTGCATGTCAGAAAATAGGTGGGGGGGGGGGGGGGGGGTTTCTTGCTTTCCTCCTCATGAACTTGCAAATGCAAAAGGAAAATGATGAACTTTTGGGACAAGATTTGTTGTGAATAATGATAATGATAAAGAAGCCCAAAAGTCTGTAGTAGATGTGTCCCTTACCATGTTAACTATTGAGCTTTATTTTAATAATAGTAATAATAAATAGAATTTGTATAGCGCATAACCCCGCTCGAAAGCAAGCTCTATGCGCTTTGCACTACTTTAAACACGGAAAAGCCCGTAGGTTCTCAAAACTTGGAGTTAACTACATTAGCATATATGATAACATGTATTGGTTCTGACAGCATCTGTTTTAGTTGGCTTTTCTGTGGTAGTCAGAGGTCAAGAAAAGAAACAAGATCAAAGCGTTTGTTCCAGGATAGTGGCTGTAGAGTTGGTTCAGGCACATTCCCTGTTGAGGTTTTCCTTTGCTCCTCATTGTGTTACCTCTCTTTATTCATTGTTTGTTTAGCTGGGGGGGTTTTCTAATTGATAAATCGCATAGCTGCCAACCAGTACGTGAACCGTGTCTTTGACACGTTTATGAAGGTCTCAGTAATAAAGTCACGTTTATTTTATGTCAGAAATATTTTTTCTCTATTTTGTAGTATTGTTCCTCGTGAAATGGCCAATGCTGAAGAAAATCTATAGATTTTCAAGATAGAATTTGTGAATAGTAATGAGAATGAAGACTATATATCAGTTTGGAAAGACTTTAGCTGAAGGTCTTCTTTATGAAATAGCTTGGATCTACTGAATGCAGATAACTGTGTGAAGAGTTTTAAATAGCTCAAATCTATTGAATGCAGATAACTGTGTGAAGAGTATGAAATAACTCAAATTTATTGAATGCAGATAAGTGTGTGAAGAGTATGAAATACCTCGAATCTATTGAATGCAGATAAGTGTGTGTGAAGAGTTTGGAGGGGACGGGTTATTTACGACTTGGCTACTGCCGTCTTGACCCCTAACATGGCTCTAATTTTTGGGTTCTATTTTGAGAAATTGGCAGCTATGTGAGATTGTATTCTTTGCATGCTTTTTAAATGTAGTGTGATACCCCTGTGGGAAACTTGCTTCACTGAATGGTAGAGTAGTGATGGAGTTGTGTGTTTGTCCCCATGTGGTCCGGACTGTAATGTGGGAAGAATAGGCTGAGGGGGTGGGGCTATTAGCATCAAGTTGTGAGAGCATTCAGGGAAATTCACGACTAGACTGAATTGGTATGCACTTAACTGTGTAGTTAAGCTTCTATCAAATGGCTTCTGTTCTCTTTATGGAAACATTCATTTCATCGGCTTGCCTGTCTTTAAAAAAAAGAAGTTATTTCTAGGTAAAAATTTGATAGCAAATGAGGCAGGGTTAGACCCTGGGCAACCTACTGTGAAAACCACATGTTGTTATCGCTCCAGTCATCTGAAGGCCTTATCATATGGGGGACTGGAAAAGACCAGGATAATATAGGTTGGTTTTTTTAGGGTATCCATGTGAAGAAATAAAAGACGAACCATGACGGCTGATGCCTGTTTCAGATTTCGCCCTTTATGATGATGATATTTTGGAGGATTAACAAACTTCTTTTCTTCCCGTCTCTGTTCCATTCAGTTTGTAAACAATTTTTATAAAATGTCAAATTGTACAACTCTGGGTCTTGTTATATTGTTTGTTACTCTCAGAAGTTAATATTCTCTGTTCTTAATCAGATTGTCTTTCAAGTGTACATGTTACTCATAGCTGTTCACATTCGTAGACGCATTGAGCTCATGGGTGTTCTCTCTTATTCTTATAGGTGAAGGCGCCTAGGTTTTTCTTCAGTGTTTTTTCTTCTTCTGATTTTGTGCTGCCTTTGCGACTTTTTTCTGCATGTCTTGTGTGTGTGCCATACACTTCAGCTGTGTTATGATGATTTGTGTAAGGATACCCTAGACCTTTCTCACTGACGTGTTTCCAGTTTTATATGGAGAGCACCATTTGAGCCAAATGAAAGCAAAGGGGAAAGGAGCCACTCTCTGTCCCGACTGTGGCCCCTTCACTTTTCACAAAGACTTTGCTGTGAAGTGTGGGTGCCTTTGGTCATGCTAGTACGCCAAAATGAAGGCCAAAACCTCAAGTCTCGCTTTAAACAAATGTGTGCAGCACTTTCCCCATCTTCCCTCTTTGTGTGGATCAAACGGTGCTCTACGTAGTGTACCGGGGGTCAGAGTGCATGTTCTAGGTTACTGTAGTACAAATCTATGGTTTTACCTTATAGAGATTCCCATAGTTTGTCTTTCTAGAATTATTCTGTTCTCCAATTGTCATGCAAGTGTGATGACTTTAGTTCAAATTGTTAAAATCATTTTTTTTTACAATCTGGTGAGACAACACCAGCACTCTATGCTATCAGTTGTTATAAAGAGTCCCAGGTTAAGAGTTCATATGCAGCAGAATATGTTTCAGGACTTTTTCAAATTCATTTTTACAATGGTTGGCTGGTTCTCTGGTGTGGTTTGCTCCTTCTTTCCTATCAAATAAATTGAAAAAGATTTATATTGAATCAATTCAGGAAATTGTTGTATGTTGTAAATGTTTCTTTAGTTCTTTGTGCAAAGACATCTCCCTGCACCCTTCTTTTCCTCTAAAATTTTCATGTAGGAGACAAAAATGATTGTCCTCTATCAAAATCAGTTTGATAAGCGAAGAATTACTTGAATTGATTGTGTTTTCTATGAACTATATTTCCAGTGGTCGTTTGTACAGGTTCTTTTCTAGGAAATGTGGTTGTTAGAGCAGGTGTAACTGTATTCCAGTTGATCTGGCTTTACCTCAGTTTAAACTTGTATTACTGTGAGTTATTTCTGGTATATAACCTGTATGTGTTTCAAGTACTGTAAAACTTTATGGTTTACAGGTGCTGTAAAAACTTTATGCGAGCACAGTAAAACTCTTACTAAACTAAACTTAGGAACTTTTACTAAAACTAAAGTCACTTCTTAGTCATGCTAACGTTCGCTTTTTTTCCTGCTTTCCCTCCCCCTCCTCTCCCTCTCCTCCTCCACGCTGCCTCACTGGCCGGCCTCCTCTCCACGTTGGGCTGGCATCTCCTCTACGTGGGACACTCCCCGCCGTCCTCCGCTGTCTGTTGTCACTCTCATTCACTAACCTCCGTGGCCTCCACGTCTGCTGCTGCTGCTGACGTCTGGCCGTCATGATGACTTGTCCGGGACACGCCCGATGACGCCATCTTTTTGGACGCCGACCGTTCCAACACAAACTCGCTAACAAACTACGTGTTGACTGACACTAACTTCAAATTCTAACACCTGCTTTTGGAAACACAAACTCACCATCACACCTACATATGGACGCCATCCGTCGTCAAATCAACTCTTCGCTAACTTACTACGTGTGGACATTGTTTGTTGGTTCGTCTGGAACTGGTATATTCATCAACGCTGTTCTGTGTGACACGCTGGCTCCACTGTCCACGGACATGTCATGATCGCCACGCCGCTGTGACCGCCTCCAATACAATCTAAATTGTGTCAATGGGGCTATAAAACACCTACAATGATTTGTACAACACTTTGTCGGTCGTGTTTGGTGATTTCTGCAACAATTGCTGTCTGTCCGTCCATCCGCCAACACATTCGTGGGAAATTATTGGCAACCGTCGACCATTTTTTGTCTTTTTTTTTCGTTCATGTTTTTACATATTCTGCACATAATATGGAAATCGGTTCCTCCCTACTGTCATCAATTTGTGCATCGCAATGATTCATTGATCTGTGTATGTGCATGCGCGTGTATGTGTGCGTGTGTGTGTGTGTGTGTGTGTGCACGTGTGCGTGTGTGTGTGTGTGCACGTGTATGTGTGTGCCCGTGTATGTGTGTGTTACCATGGAAACGCTCCGATGGCCCCTGGCTGGGTGTAGCCAAGAAGGTGGGCGGCATGTCCCAGGCTGAGATCTTGTCCTATGTTGCAGGTGGGGCAGGGGACGTCACTCCAGACCAGGACCTGGACCAGCTGCTCTCCAGGTGAGCCTGCCTGTCTGTCGTTGTTTGTTTGTTGGTTTGTCTGTCTGGGTGGCTGTTTGATTGAGGGAGGGAGGAGGAGGCGTTGTTTGTTGGTTTGTCTGTCTGGGTGGCTGTTTGATTGAGGGAGGGAGGAGGAGGCGTTGCTGCTGGGTTTTTCTGGACTTTTTGTTTTGTTTGCCTCTCACACACATTTTACGTTATACGTATATATCATATGCCCACGTACAATCATTCACACACGCACGCTTACACACATACATGCACTTATACCCTCACACAAACACGCCCACTCTCTCTGTGGGTGGTTGGCGGGTGCTCTGGTGTGGTTTGCTTCTTGTTCCTATCAGACATCTATTGTCCTTATCTGCCCTTCCCTCTTTTTTTTGTGTATGTTACTCTCTTGTAACACCTCTAATCTTCGGCACTTATATGACCTTATTGTGTTGCAAGTGCCGTAAAACTCTTACTTAAACAAAAAACACACACACACTCTCACTCTCGTGCACGTATGCGTGCATGTACACACTTACACTTTGGCTGTCTCTCTTCTTAATAAGAAAAACAAAACAAACTGACAGAACCAGCAAATAAACAGATCATCTTTAGCGTTATTGTGGATGTTCAGAGTTTGTGGGTTTCTTCCCCTCCTTTGTGCTAATCCAGTCTGGATTCCAAAAGGTAACAACTAATGCCTGTAGTGTTGCATTTTTTCTTTTTTGTTCTTTCAAGTCCTCCCGCCTATGTGAGATGTGTTTTTGAAGGCTTGAATCACTTCACATTAGTTAGAGAATGCAGATTTTTGTGTTTGTGCATTGCGACCTAGTCCAAAGATTTTAACCTGTGGTCGCCTCGGAACTATTTTGTCCAAAGTACAGGGTGATCCAAAAAAAACTTTATAACTTTTTTCGTAAATATTTTCCTCCACACTGAAGCTTTCATCTTCAAATTTGAACACAATATTCCTCATTCAAAAGGAATTTGACTGATATTCATTTCAGATGATTCCACTAAATAATTCTGAAGTGTAATGCGCATTAAAAAAACAACCCATTTTTTGCATTTGTCCTCTTTTATTACACTACGCTCCAGTACGCATTACCACAAAATGTCGTAACAAATTATGGACGGATCTGGGGAGACACCGGCACACACGTTTCTGTCAGATCAATGACATGGCTAGCTGAGCACTTTGGAGATCATGTGATCAGTCGCAGAAGTGAACACATTTGGGCTCCGCATTCTCCTGACCTGAATCCTTCAAACTTTTTCTTGTGGGGCTATCTGAGGGACAGGATATTTCAAAACAAGTTTGAAAACATTGAAATTATGAAACTAGCAATCCGTGATGAAGTGGGAAACATTCCACGGGCACTGTGTTTTGCCGTCATCGAGCACTTCAAACGACGCGTTAAAAGATGTTTGGAGTCCAAAGGAGGACATGTGGAGCGTTTGTTTTAGAAATTCCAGAACAAAAATGTTAGTTCTTTAATTCCCTAAGAGAAGTTAAATATTGTTTGATGTCACAAGGTTGGAACAATTAAATGTTATAGAGAAAAAAAGACAAAAATCAATCGTCTCATGACTTTCCTTGCGAGAGTCTTTTTTTAAAAATTGGCGCATTTTGCGTTTCTGGTTTTTTTTTATATGCTTTTTCCATTCTGAAAATAAGTTTCTTCTGTATGAATTTTATGTCAAATTCCTTTTGAATGGAGTTTATCTGTTCCAAATTTCATCTTTGTAGAACACCATTTGGGCGAGATATTTAGAAAAAAAGTTGTTAAGTTGTTTTTTTAATCACCCTGTACCTTTTTACCACTTATGTACACTTTGGACAAAATAGTTCCGAGGCGATGATGTCACGGCTTTTTGGCAGATTAAATATTTTATTAATTTTTTAAAAAGTTGTTGCTGTTTAGGGGTGTGGGGGCGTGTGTGTTTATTTGATACTTTTAATTTTTATAGGCTTTTTTTTTACTTTCTTTGCTTTGACTGTTGTACACGGATGACCTGTTGTGCAGTTAGTTAGGATAGCCCTTGATCGTTCTGTTGTGTGTGTTTTGTTTCCGTGTGTGTTTTGTTTCCGTGTGTGTGTGTCCGTATTTTGTGTTGATTCTTGTTCATTCAGTTTGATCAAGTCATGTGAGGAAGTGCAGTGATAACTTTTGTCTTGTTGCATGAAGACAGCCCCCACATGGAAGTATTGTCTGTGATTTTTCTCCTGTGAATGGAATGCAGTCTGTGGGGTGGGCTTCTTTCACTTCAGAATCTGACGCCCTGTGGGGTTTTTTTGGTTTCCATTTTTTTTTAAACCCAAAAGTTTTTGTTTTAAGTACAATTGAACCCATCCAAGACTACCACACATCGTGGGTGGTTGGAGGGTGCTTTTGGTTGTTCCTACTTCTTTTCTTTTTCTCTGTTATATCTGTCTGTCGTCACTAGAATATGACCATTATTGTGTCGATGTGCTTTTCTCTTCTTTTTTTCCAAACTAAAATAAAAATAAACGGAGAAGTAGGTGATTGGTATGGTTTGCTTCTTCTTTCCTATCAAACATCTATCATCCTTATCTCCCCTTCTTCTTCTATATGTTGGTTACTCTCTTGTAACACCTCTAATCTTCTGGCGCTCATATGACCTTATGCAGTTGCGAGCGCCGTAAAACCTCTACTAAAACTAAAATCTAAACGGAGAGAGTAAAGTTTAAAGAAATGCATATCTGTATGTCTGCCATTGTACCTGTTCTGTTTGGAGGTTGTCACTGGTCAGTCGTTCTTCTGTACCCACACTCTGTCTCCACACTCTGTACCCACACTCTGTCTATCTGTGTGGTCATTTTGGAACACGTTATTAGCGTCTGTGGTGTAATGCTCAGGCTCTTTGTAGTCGGTCGCTGGAGACCGGAGTTCGATTCCAGAGTAGGGAGAATTTTTATCTGGCACCTCAGTTTTTCTGCCTGGGCAGCAGATGTATGGGTCTCAGCCCGGGTTGATCCTGTCAGGCATGGTGAAAGCCTGCGTCAAAGCCTGCCCACTAAATGATCTAAATTATGTCGGTAGAGGTGGAAAAATACACACACTGTGCCTCTCTTTGCCCCCTCAAGCTCAAGAGTTTATGTCATTACCCCCCCCCCCCCCCCCTTTTTTTTAGTAGCCCCCCGAGATCAGCGAGTGGCTCTGTGGTAAGAAGCGTTGTAGTGTCGGAGGAGCGGAGGCCCCGTAGTCGTGGCCGCCCGGCCGTGGTGGACGAGTCGCTCTCTCCCCGGGAGCGAGAGGCCCAGAAACGGGCGGCCTGGAGAAAAGCTAGGTTTGAACCTCTACTCCTCACCTGCACCCCGTAGACTTGGTGGCGTTTTTAAAAAAAATTATCATTTATTTATCAAAACTAGTTTCGTGTATATATTATAATTTTTTAAATCATAGTATTATTATTGATATATTATTATTTTTTATATTATTAATATTCGTAATCCAATGCTATGGGCACAGTTAACGACTTTTGTTTCATCATTTTATACTTTTGAACTTGTATATCAAACTGACCCTCTTTACCAACTATTTTTTTTATATAAACATGCAAATTTTGCTTCGAAGTACAGAACTGTTTCTTAAACCCATTTATTTCTGCATTTCCATTTTTATTTATATCCTTTTTTTTAATCAATAAGAGGGCTTCCAGCGTAGTTTTAATGATTCTTCTCCCTGACCCTTCCTTATTGATTCTCTGCCACAATATCCCCTGAGTGCTTGGAAGCTTTTTGCTGCAATACATTTATTTTTTTAAAAGGGAGTTGTCTTTAGCGGTTAAGATTTCATTGAATTTCAGTTTCCACTTTTTTCCCCCAAAGCCCTGGAGTAGCACAAGTAAAGGAGATATCTGAAATGTTTTTGGAGTTCAGGAATTTTTAAATTTTTTTTTTGGTCTTCTGAATGGAAATTTTTGAAACTTTTGAAAATATTTTCTCCCCTGTGGAATTATGGATGTGAAAGTAGAAGGGGAAAAAAGGAACGGTTAGAAGTGTGTTGCTTTCTTGCTTTGATGGGGGTCAGGCTGTGTGTAGTTGAATGCTGGTTGAGTGTAGGTGATGTGCTCTGTGTAGCTGGCTATACCGTGTTCCTTCTGCCTCTGTGTGTGTGTGTGTGTGTGTGTGTGTGTGTGTGTGTGTGTGTGTGCTGGGTGGAGCTTCTGTTGGTAATATATCCTGAGCACGTATGGTCGCAGACGAATTTGTCCAAGACAGACGTCAACCCCCACTCTTTGTGCGGGAGAAAAGTGGTTGTTTTATACAGGTGGAAGGGGGTGATTGGCGGGTGCTCTGGTGTGGTTTGATTCTTCGTTCCTATCAAACATCTATCGTCCTTATCTCTCCTTCTTTTTTGTGTTTGTTACTCTCTTGTAACACCTCTAATCTTCGGCACTTTTATGACCTTATTGTGTTGCAAGTGCAGTAAATCTCTTACTAAAATTAAAAAGAGTTGATTTCCTCGTGGGGAGATTTCTCGGTCTTTCTGCTGAAACGTTGTGTCCCTCTCTGCCTGGGTTGGTCATGACGGGCAGTGTCCAAGCAGCCTGTTTCATAGATTATCTCAAATGTGTCGCGATTGGGTGGGAAACATCTATTTTTGCTCTTAACTCTATCCGTATACCCTGGGGATCATTTTGTTCCCCCGGGGTTGTATTTTTCATGTTTTAGAATACTTCTAGTACGAAGATCTCTTTGAAACTTTCAGTAGTTCTCAAAATATCATTTTGACAGACTGCTATGCAAAGGGTACGGATCGGATTAACGAGTAAATTTCCTCTTTGGAAAGTGGTGGCACAGAGTTCCCCATGTCGTATGGATACGATAGTAAAACACGACGTACGGATAGGGTTAAGTGGTGGCACAGAGTTCCCCACGTCGTATGGATACAATAGTAAAACATGGCGTACGGATAGGGTTAAATAAAAAATTAATTAGATTGTCCTGTATTATGCTGTGTCTGTTGTAGGTGTATGTAGGTGGATTTGGCCTTGCTGACATCTTCATCATCATCATCATCATTTTGCTTGCTGGCTAAGATAGCTTGCTGTGTGCTCGTAGACATAATTTTCCCTGTTTGTAATTTATTTTCACACTGAGTGTTTCCATGTTTTTTGTTTGGTTTTAAAAAAAAATAGATGTCATTGCTTTTGACAGTAGCGTTGTCATGCCTCTGCCTAAGTTTTGATAAGCATGCCACGTGATTGCACTATTTTATCATAATGTACAGTCGAACCTATCCGGTGGGTGGTTGGCGGGTGCTCTGGTGTGGTTTGCTCCTTCTTTCCTATCAAACATCTATCGTCCTTATCTCCCCTCCTTCTTTTTTGTGTTTGTTACTCTCTTGTAACACCTCTAACCTTCGGCACTTATATGACCTCATTGTGTTGCAAATGTCGTAAAACTCTTACTAAAACTAAAAAAACTAAAAACAACCTATCAATGACGGTCTCTCAGAGACAAAAATGACCATTATAATGAATGAAGTGTTGGGACAGGTGACCCCGATAAGGAGAGGTGACCGTTTACTCAGGAGGTTCGACTGTTTTGTGTTTCTGCCCTATCTGCTTGCTTTTCAAAAGCGAAAAATGACAAAAGTCTTTGAATGAATACTTATAGATCTCCTTTGTCTTAGATGTGTAGCTGTAGATTATGTACCACTGTACCTACATGGCATTGCTGTGCTTTGTGAGCAGAAGTATATTTTTATGTTGTTATTGCTTTGGGGAGTTGTTGCTTTAATTTAGTTTACAAGGCGGTTCAGTGCTAGTCTGGTGAATACTACTTACCAATTTCAATGAGTTTTTTGTGTGTTTAAATGAAATGTAACCAGAAGCTTATATCCCCCCCCCCCCCCCCAAAAAAAAAAAAAAAAAAAAGTAAAAACTAATATAAAAACAAACATTCGATACAATTTTGAGTGTCTAAAGTACAGAAGTCTGTTTTTGTGTCCCCCCAAAAAATATAACCTCTGTTTTCTAGAAGTATTGCTCCTCCCAGGCTTGCTAATGTTTGAGTAAAATTATGAACTTTCTAGGCTGGATATGAGAATGATCATGATGTTTAGTAAAATTGTGAACTTTTTAGGCTGGATATGAGAATGATCATGATGTTGGAGTAAAATTGTGAACTTTCTAGGCTGGATATGAGAATGACCATGATGTTTGAGTAAAATTATGAATTTTCTAGGCTGGATATAAGAATGATCATGATGTTTGGGTAAAATTATGGAATTTCTAGGCTGAATATGAGAATGATCATGATGTTTGAGTAAAATTATGAACTTTCTTGGCCGGATATGAGAATGATCATGATGTTTGAGTAAAATTATGAACTTTCTTGGCCGGATATGAGAATGATCATGGTGTTTGAGTAAAATTGAGTAAAAAGGGTATTACTAAGTCAATGCTCATCATCTTGACCAGCCACATGGGTGGAACCTGTTTGGGGTTGGGGGGGTTTTTGTGTGTGTGTTTTAAGTTGGCAACTTTGTACTGGAGTTGTGTGTTGTAGGAATATAGGCGTCTATCTGAGCACATGAAACAGGAAGACCTATTAGTGCTATGACCTTTCCACTTTTGGGAAAATAAATTTGAGGGCCGCCAAGTAAACTATGGTAAGTCATGTAGTTCAAATTTGACTGGAGAGACAAAAAACGGATTTTCTTGAAGCGTTTTGGGTGGATAAACTTCATTCTCATAAGGGAGGCTACAAATGCCATGACAGACATTAGGCTCTCTCTCTCTCTCTCTCTCTTTCTCTCTCACACACACACACACACACACACACACACACACACACACACACACACACAGACAGAGAATCACCTGAACAAACCTGATACACATCTGAAACACCACTACCACCACCACGGTACATGTTGTATTGACTCACCTCCACCTCCCCAGGATGAAGAGTCTGGAGGCCGATGCGGTTCAAGCCCAGGCAGTCATCGCCAAGGCCCAGGAGATGTCTCGAGGTGAGCCCTCTACCACCTCCGGCACCCGCGCAAACGCGTCAGCTCTGCATGCAGTTGATATAGCTTTTGCAGGTGTGTGTTTGTTTGTGTGTTTTGTTCTGTGTGCAGTCAGCAGGACATGTCCAGGGCGGTGCCACTGACTGAAGTGTCTTTAGTCCATTCCCAAAGGGGGGATATTAACATGGGAGGG